GGGGCACAGCGACCTGCAGGAGCGAAGGGATCCGCCACGCCCAGTCGGAAGCATAGTTGCGTGTACCATAAGTAGCCCACGCAGCCAGTGTTGATCCGATATACCATCCACAGTTGTACAAAGACGTCAGAAGAGCTCTATGCGAAGGATATGCAATCTCTGTGATGAGGAGGGGGGCAAGACCACCCCACCATGCGCTTGGCTGGCCCAAGAAAAAGCGACTGATGACGAAGCCGGCAGTGTTTGATGTGAAGGTTTGTAGAAGAGCACCAAGTACCAGGAAGAAGTATCCAACATAAAGGCCCTTCTTGCGACCCAACGATTCGCAAAATAGGCCACCATCGGGTAAGCCAGCGTCGAGGACAGAGCCTGAATAGCGTTGATGAATCCTAGCCAGGCGCCTTTAGGATGATTCATGAAGTTGAACCACTGCGGTAGCGCCATGAGACCGTTCATCATACTGCCGTCGTATCCGTTTGCTGCCGCCAGAAGACACATACAAAGACAGTAATAATTGAGGCGGAGAAGGTGGCGCTTTCTGTACCATGCTACACCATCGTTCGGTATGAGTTCTGCCAAGTCGTCGCCAATGGCGGACTTTTTGGGCTTCGGATTGTTTGATTTACCCAACATTGCGACGCCGATGACAGTGCCAAGCTGAGGATGGCTCAATGAAGAAAGAACCGGCAGAAGTGAGACAGGTATCTGGCTGATGCGTGGGTGAGCGTCTGATGTGGTTGTTGGCTTCTTGATGATAGACGGACAGACTCCTTAGCCATATATATCGACTTTCAGTAGACTCGGCATGTGGGCATGGAAAATAGAGCGCGGACTATTTCATCCCCGATCACACCATGTACGAGATCCGGGGTGCTAGCGGCCATCTGGGGAAACCTGGGGTAGTAGTGATGCGGACCGCGCGGAGTTTCGGTCACCTCTGCAGGCAAGGGATCTGACTCGCTCTATCGACAATAGTGATGAATCCAGCTGAAAGCTTTGGTGTCATCTTCAGGTCGCATGGCATGTTTGCGTAGTTGGGATGGGCCCAGCTTTTGACAGTACCGATTGGCCCCTTTGCATCAACTTGATCTTGCTCTCATTCCCCTGTCACGGAAAAAGATTCCGATTGCCATTGGCAAGGTCTCGCATTCGTCACTGCAGATAGTCCTCTAGGACCTGGATAGCTCGGGTGATGCCAGGTCCTTCGTCCTCCCAAAATCGCATCCTCTCAATGCACCGACGCATGTCAGCTCTCCAGTCTACCCCGACAGGCATTGTGACTTTGCCGGATTTGACTGCCGCCAGCACAACAAATGCACATGTAGCCGCTACCCGGACCCCATACCAAGAGCCATGATGCCGGTGAAACAAAGGCTCCCCCCTAATCCCGCTCAGGTGCCACGATATCGCCTGGTCTACAAGTGGCTGAACCGTGGCCCGATGATGTGCTCCGAGAGGCTTGTGAATTGCGTAATAGAGAAACGGGCGGTAGAGCCAAGTTTTGATCTCATAGACTCGACCTTTGACCATGTATGGCAGCTCTCGTGGGCACAGCTCCAAGTCATCAAAGCGGATCGGCAGTGGCAATCCGTCGTACCTATGTGATGATCCGTGTCAGAAATTTGTCCCAATTGATCCATATGTGACGATGATCAACCGATGGACTCATACCAGTCAGATAGTTGCTGTTCGAACCCGCGTGCTGCTTGAGCCATGAAGCCGATTGTTTCGGTATTCCACCCTTCATGTCCATTCTGGTAAAACTCATTCAGAATGTCGTTTGCGATCCTCCTGAGAGTGATTTCGGTCAAGTAGTAGTACCAGCTTTCCTCCTGCTGCTGTATCGAAGAAGCTGATAGACGGCCTGGCACTGATGGTGGGTGCCCAGCAATCTGGTTCGCCTGGTCCACCGGGTCGGAACTCGGTGTATCCATGTCAGGCGGTGAAGGGTGCATATCCGGATAGTTGAACGACGCCAACGAGCTGTTGGGAAGATCCATCTCGGCTCGGAGCTCGCACTCAGACTTGTAACAACTCCAGTAAAGTCGCTGCTCTAGTTGGCGACGCCGTGCAGACCCTGAGCCGCTTGTCAGGGAATTCGTTCTGCGGGATTGGCACTGAAGGTAGACATGATACGATCTGGAAGCTGAATGGAACTGTGTCCATGCGAGCAATGGTCTCAGCGTGTACATCATGTAAACGCCTGCGAAGAAATGACATTGGGGTGCGAGTAATCCCTTTTGGAGCAAACCAAATCTCCGACGCGCAAGGTTGTAGTAGACCTCGCCGCTGTGAAGACTTTCAGCCTGAGACTTGAGCGAAGATGTGGCGCCAGGGCTGGGCATCGAGGTACCCTCTGGGAACGAGCGGGCTACAGAGCCAAGAGCGCACGCAAGCAGCTGTGGGTGCTCTGATCAGTAACTCAACCAAGACAATTATCTCTCCTCTTGGAGACATGCTCACCACCATGCAAGACCTCGAGTCCCACTTAAGTCCATCTTCTGCGACGCGCCGGGCGTAGGACCACAAAGTGTCGGCCTCGAGAACTGGATTTTTGGTGTGCACAAGATCGAGGAACCTCTGTACCAACGGCAATACATCCTCTTCGTTGAATCCATGTGTTCTGGACTTGTTCAATAGTGACAGATTCGAGCTTTCCTTCTCATCCTCCTCTTCAGAGTCGCTATCCACAATACCCGTTTCAAAAACAGCGTCGATGATGTAATTCGGGGGATAAGAGCACTCGAGCACTGGCCACTGAAGGACAGCCTCACATGTCGTCCTTGCGGATGGGATCGACAAGTCGTCTCTTGAGATGTCTTGAACCTCGACAGGGGCCTCGTCTGTGGTTCCGCGAGGTGCTAGTGGGACTGGGTTACTAGGCGTCGAAACGGCAGCGTACGAGAGCTCTGCAGCCAAGCCGCCATTTTCTTGGCCTGGAGACGATGGCAAGCGGTCCAACCTGGAGAGTACCTGATTCAATTTATCGAGGATGGCAATGCTAGCAGGATCAAATCTAGTGCATCGCATTAGCAATTTGGGAGACGAGCCAAGAAAAGTTGCTTGACCTGCACAGATGAGGGCGAATTCCTTACGCAGAGACATCATCTGAGTCTTCGTATACGCATACTGCGCTGTGTGAAGAGCAATTTCCGCAGGTTGGTCGAGCATTGTTGCATTTCACCTTTCTAGACCGACACAATCTACAGGCTGCAGTCGCCCTTTTTCGTGGATACGCGACATCAGCCCTTGACACCTCCCCACGGTCCCGTTTGCGGGGGCTCGGGGCCTATTGGCGACTGTTGTTGCATCCGGAGGCGTGCCGCCCCCACGGAGAACACGAGCTGAACTGTCCGGAGATGCAGAATGAGCGGCTTGAGCCGTATGTGTGTCCCTTTGGGTGGAGGAAAGGTTGCCGTCGAGGGGTAATAATGACTGCATGGTTGGCATTCCACTGTTGGTGTTCCTTGAAAGATTGAAAGGCATGTCGCGCCGCGGAATCTCGGGGCGTAAGTGCGAGCTACAGTACGAGTGGGGAAGCTTCGGCCTAGAACCAAACAAGACGACGGCTCGGGGAGTTCCGGGGCAAAGATGACCTCCGTTCCTACACAGTAAACCGTCAAAGCTGTTTCCACCTTCGGTCTAGTCTGGATTTCGAGCACAAGAGTCCCACTCCTCCAGCAATAGGCATCTCATCGCTCGTGAGAAGCAGTATACTCAGCGGCGGTGGTTCGGGGGCCATCCCGAGAATGACGCTTCAACGATCTCGTTGGGCTCATGTGCTAGGCACATTCGGACTATAATAGGTGTACGAAGAAGGCTCGAGGAAGCACATCCTGCCACAATGCATTACAGAGGAAATCAAAACCCGCTCTGGCCCTGCTTGGATTGACAACATTCGCAGTTTACAGTCTCGACGCGACGGACATTATGAATTCTGGAACAGGCAGAGCCCCACTCAGTGTCGGAATCATCGGTTGCGGTGAAGTCGCGCAAGTCGTTCACATCCCTACCCTCTTATATATGAGTAGCTGGTTCAGGATCACGTACTTGTGCGACGTCTCTGAAGCCGCCTTGAAGCACTGCGCAGCCAAGATACCAGGCACTGTCAAAATAACCCGGGATCCGGAGCGCCTTTGCGCCTCAGAAGACGTTGATGTCATTTTGGTAGCAAGTTCAGACGAGTACCACGCAGAGCATGCGCTGGCTGCTCTGGAGCATCACAAACATGTGCTCGTTGAGAAACGCTGGCTTTGACAAGGCAGGATATCGGTACGATTGCTGAGGCCGAACGTCAGAGTCGAGGTTCTGTCATGGTGGGCTATATGAGACGGTACGCTGCACCCGTTGAGGACGCCATAAGGGAGATTGGCGGGATGGACAAAATTCTCTATGCCCGTGTCCGAGGTAAGCCTACACGTCGAATTTCGCAAGATCTTGCTAACATTTTCAAAGACATCATCGGGTCCAACTCGACCTTTGTGAATCAGTCCGGCACATTTCCGGAAAGATTTACCGATTTCAGGCCGGAGGATTCGGCTGACAAAACAGCAAGACATGAACAAGCTGTCAATGCTGCACTTGCAGAGTGTGGAGACGTTCCAGTCACAAAAGAATCGTCTCTGGCGTGGCGAATCCTTTGTGGGCTTGGATCTCATGACCTCTCACTGATGCGAGAAGTACTGGGAATGCCAACCAGCGTTCAGGGCTCCTCTCTTGGCTTTCCCTTTTGGAAGTGAGTCGACCAGTAAAGGCCAGCATGATGTCTGCCGCAGAGTTACTTACAAACCACACTTTAGTGTCCTCTTCAAGTATCCTGGCTTCACTGTCTCTTATGAGTCTGGAATTGACAATAACCCTCGCTTTGACGCACATCTTGAGGTTTATAGTAACACCAAGTCGGTCCGCCTGCAATACGACACACCATATGTCAAGGGGCTGCCGGTCACCATGCACATCGCGGAGAACGACGATGGAGCGTATAAGGAGACTACAATTCGCAAGACGTACGAGGATCCTTACACCCATGAGCTCAAGGAGTGGTGGGATGCTGTCACTAAAGGGAAGGGACCCAAGACGACCACCCAAGATGCGGCGCAAGATCTGGAGATATTTGGAATGGCGATGAAGCATCATTACGGGTGACTACCAGGTATTCAGGTCTGAAGAGACTACCTTATTCTAAATTTGTACGCATAAAGTCTTTAACTCCTAGTGTTGCTATTTTGCTTCCTTGTTAAGTGCCGAGATCGCCCGGGTTCACTCGTTAAACACTTGCAGTGACGAGAAGGGACCCGAAGGTGCGATATTAGTGACTCGTCTTTTTCTACAAGGCATCGCTTCACCGTTGGAATGTCTCGGTAGGGATCCTCAAGATTCTATTGTAATTTGACTCAATAGAATACGACTTGAGATTCCAATTTCCACAAGCTGCAGCATAACCAACAACCTCCTTGCATCACTTTCCCTACTTCAATCTGACATGAAGGCCTTGCGAGAGAGATGACGAAGCCAGGGGCTTGCGAACGCCTCAATCTATGGTCCTTGTCATGAGCGCGTGTCGGACACAGGATTCATATACTTAGACTTACAATGTACTTTTCGTCTTGAGACTGTCGCGCCTCGTTGAGCGAGCTTAGCAGCTGTTCTGATAGTAGCTGCAGCCGCCAACGCCGCAAGTCCAGCAGACACGAGAACCTCCGGCGCATTGACCGCAGGCTCGCTTCTGAAGAGCGTCACGCTCAGCGATGCCTCGGGCGGCGTTGGCAGCGGCATCAGCCTCGATAGCAGGGGCGGCCATGGCGCCAACGGCCAGGGCAGTGAAGATGATGGCGAAGAACTTCATTTTTGAGAGATTTTGAGGATTGCGAGGCTTGGACTGGTTGATTTGTTGAGACAAGAGAAGGCTGATGATGGGGTGATGATCAAAAGCACAAAGAGCATCGTGGCTGGGCCAGTATATATGTGTTTGATCGGTCTCAGAAACTATCATGTCTACGCATAGCTTCAACAACATTGATAGATCGAGTGATCGCAACATGCGTCAGTCGAAAACATCATCCACGTTACCTTGGTCGGTTGAGGGACTAGTTGGGGTGGACAATGAGGCACTGGGACTTTTGCTACATGTTTATTGGAACTTTTGGAAT